AACGAAGATATTGTTCTTAAACGTACACACCACATTTAACGATGCACATTCTGTGAGTGCGCGGATAGTGTACAAGCTGATGCTAACGAGAGGAGAGAAGGATGCTGGCTGAACGCGGACGACAGTCCAGACTAGAATCAGAGGTTTAAAGACAGCGACGGCAACGGTAACGGAGCTGAGGTGCCTGGTGCTTGAGGGAAGCTGCCTTGGACAGCAACCACAGCCAGGCAGCTGCTGAGGCAGCCAGACACAAAACAATCAACAAAGCAACGAAGCAACGAAGCAGCGAGAAACTATCGGCGTAGCGGTGGGAAAGCAAGACGAGGCCGGCCAGTCTCAACAAAATGGAGCTCGCCGAAGCACACAATCTATTGGCACAAAAGAGGCGTTGAAAAGGCAAACGAAGCGGCAAAAGAAGCTGTCACCTCTGGGATTCGAACCCAGGCACCCTGAGGTAGTGGGACTTGAATCCACCGCGTTAGACCACTCCGCCAAAGTGACAATCTCTGTTTCAAATTTCTCAGCCTGCCGCTCCACTCGCCCTCCCGTTCATTACCTGAGCCGCCCTCATATTCATTACCTGAGTCGCTCTCTCATTCGCAGCCTAGTTGCCTTCTCATTCACAGCCCGAGTAGCAGCTATTGAACCCTCACAATGTCAAATAACAGTGATGTGTGCGAGATGGAGAAATCGTACGTAATTGCGAGAGCGGGGCTCGGCGTTTCAGTAAACTTGCAAATGCAACAGCTACAATCACAGTCCGAGTCGCCTTCTCTATCGACTTCTTTATCGACTTCTTTATCGACTTCTTTATCGCCTTTTGTATCGCCTTCTGTATCGCCTTCTGTATCGCCTTCTTTACCGACTTCTTTGGTGCCTTCTTTAGTGCCTTCTTTATCGCAGTCTGCTGTCAATCACCATCGGGTCGGTTTGATGTTGCTATTCAAAGCGACCACTTGTGTGTGTGCGTGTGTGTGTTGAGAGAAGAGAAGCGAGTGCGAGAGCCCACGAAAACGAGAAGATAGAATCTCATTCAAAGAGCATCACAATGGAAGACTGCATGGCAGAATAAAGTAAAGGAGGCAAACAGTCGTATTTACTCATAAAAGCTCTATTTACTAACAAAAATCTTACTTACTGAACACCCTCGATTATGTGCGGCAAACGCGGGCAGACGACACAGCCTTCTCCAGCCCGTCGACCTTGAAGTTCACGGGAAAGTTGGTGGTCTTGAGCCGCCACGTCGGGTTCTTGCCCTTGCAGCTGGTCTCGGGGAAGAAGGCAATGGCTCCGTCGTTCTGGTTGTCCCACTTCGCCGAATAGGCTTTGTTGTCGAACTCCTTGAAGTTGACGCAGGTGCAGCGGCCCGGATCGACATCGTATCCAAACGAGTGGGCCGAGCCCTGCCAGTTCACGTTGCCGTACAGAGTGATTGTGGCGGCAGACGCCGCAGAGGCAGCGCTTGCGGCCAAGGCGACCAAGGCGGCGGTAGCAACAGCGGCAGCAGCGGTATGGGATGTGGCACAGAACTTCATATCTGACTGCAAAGGGTTTAATGATGGCAAGTAATGGCGGGTGAGGATAGGCGAGGATAGGCGAGGGCAAGTAATGGCAGGCGAGGGCTAGTGATGGCAAGTAATGGCAGGTGAGGATAGGCGAGGATAGGCGAGGGCTCTGGGAGTACGAGAAGGAGGGTATATCAGCGGCGGCGCGGGAGAACAGGACGGCAGGTATATTAGCAGTAGTGCTGTGGAGCGACAGGGTGGACGAGGAGGGAAGGAAAGAAGGAAGGATAAATAGAGCGAAGAACGACGGAGGTTGGAGGGAGGAAGAAACGAAGGAAGGAAGAATAGAGCGAAAGAACGACGGAAAACAGACGAAAGAGCGAGTGGATACGGCTGGCTCAAGGCAGGAATGCGGATATTTCTGTGTGATGCTGGATCGGGGCACTGTTCCTGGACGAGTGGAGCCCACGGCGAGCCGGGTCCATTCGGTGGGTCGTCATTTGCAGGGCCGTCGTTTGCAGGGCTGCCACTCGCTGGGCTGCCATTCACTAGACTGCCACTCACTAGACTGCCATTTGCCGGACTGCGAACTCAATGTCGCCCCACACACAACGAGGTTGACCATCGGCGTCTGCCACTAAGCTCGAACTGCCGATAGATGACACTCGGCTCAGCATTCCGGCTGTTGCAGTTTTAGATTTCCTCACAAGCGGCCAACACAGCTGTTTCGGACGGCGATTCTTCCTTCGCTTTCATCTTTACGAACAAAATATACGAAATGATGGCTCTGATGATGGCTCTGGTTCTGAGGGTGATGAATATTGCTATGAAGGTGAAATTGATGAATGTGATGAATGTGATGAAATTGATGAAATTGATGAATGTGGCGAATGTGTTCAACGTGATGGTGATGATGATGGTTCCAATGATGGTTCTGAGTGTGGCAGTGGATCAGACGATGATGGCAGCTGTGTATCTGATGATGATTCACGCCAGATCTCCGGCGATGACTCGGACGGTGATGGTGGCGACTGGCAAGGCGATAAGGAAGGCGATAAAGAAGGCGATTTAGACTCAGACTGCAATTCAGACTAGGGCTGTGATGACGGTTCAGATTGCAAATGGAAGGGCGACTCGGACTGTAATTCATATTGTGGATAGGAGAGCGATGTGGACTGTGAATGAGGAAGCGACTCAGACTGCGAATGAGAGAGCGACTCAAGCAATGAATATGAGGGCGGCTCAGGTAATGAACGGGAGGGCGAGTGGAGTGGCTCGCTGGGAAAACTGAATCAGAGATTGTCACTTTGGCGGAGTGGTCTAACGCGGTGGATTCAAGTCCCACTACCTCAGGGTGCCTGGGTTCGAATCCCAGAGGTGACAGCTTCTTTTGCGCTTTTGT